GGATTGCTCTACCATAACTGGTAAGTAGGCCTGTGGATTCAGGAGACAGATGTCTGAACATGTGGCAAAAGATGGTCTCGATCCTTATAGAGAGACTAAACTTGTGCATACTTTTGCTAAGTATTTTCTGTGTCTTCAGTTGTTATAGCCTGTCATTCCCCTAGACCCTCCACCCCCCAAAGGCGCTAGCGATCACATTCATAGCCTCCGACATGCCAACCAAGTGACTTCCCATTGAGCTGCAACTTCAGCCCGGTAGTGTTCTGAAATCACCCTCTACCTAGCGGTAGTTAGGGCTTTGGAGTCCCTGAAATAGATGAATTGGGGGCCTTGGGTCCTGCAGAGATGCTGAGACAGCTGTTGTGTCTGGAGTCAGAACCCAAGGTCAAGGCAAGCTCGGTATCCAGATGTGTGATGTGATGCTTCTTGCCGTTGGCTCAGATGCTCTTCCCCACACAGGTACCCATCGCGGGTGTTTGTGGGAGATACCTTCTGTTACTTCGCTGGTATGACTTTTGCCGTGGTGGGCATCTTGGGACACTTCAGCAAGACCATGCTGCTGTTCTTCCTGCCACAGGTGTTCAACTTCCTCTATTCACTGCCTCAGCTCCTGCGCATCATTCCCTGCCCTCGCCACCGTATGCCCAGGTAGCCACTTTGGGTCTTGGAAGGGATATCATAGCCTTTCACTTGGGATATCTAAAAATAGCATCTGCATTCCCTATGTAAAGGAAGTAGGCCCTTTATAATTTACAAGCACATTTACATACATAATCTGAATGTTCACATCAGTTCTGATCACATAGAAGTAAGCAACAGAGACAAATAGATCTCAGGTTATTTGATTCCACTTTCATTGCTCTTCCTGGTAATTATCCACAGGGAGGAGAGTTTTTTGAGTAGTGGTCTAGTCACGTAAAGCTGTCTTCCCCCTGCAGACTCAATACCAAGACAGGCAAACTGGAGATGAGCTATTCCAAGTTCAAGACCAAGAGTCTCTCTTTCTTGGGCACCTTTGTATTAAAGGTAACTAGGTAACAAGGAGGTAAGGCCCCAGGCCACCATCCTAAGCTTGGGGGAATGGGATCCTAGGCCTACATCAGACTCAAGGGGACCTTGGAAGCATCAAGTAGACCCCCATTCCTAGAACACTGGTATTAGCTCAAGTTCTTTCTAACTCTGGTCCCCCAGGTAGCAGAGAATCTCCAGCTAGTCACAGTGCGACACGGTGAGGATGAGGATGGTGCCTTCACTGAGTGTAACAACTTGACTCTCATCAACTTGCTACTTAAAGTCTTTGGGCCCATCCATGAGAGAAACCTCACATTGCTCCTGTTGCTGCTTCAGGTGAGGGCAAGGATGGGGTTTGTACCTCCTTGGCTCCCTCCCTTTGGTTCTTATTCCAGACCCTTTCTCTTTGCAGATCCTGGGCAGCGCTGTCACCTTCTCCATTCGATACCAGCTTGTCAGACTCTTCTATGATGTCTGAATTCCCCTTTGCCTCACAAGTCTCCAGGGAGCCTGACATAGGCCAACCTCTGTCTGGTCTAAGACTGATGACTCCTGGCCCAGACTCTCCCATTCTTTATTCTCCTTGAGATTTTGCTCTCAGCAATGACATCATGGACCTTTCAGGCCTCCTAATGATGATTAGATTTTGCCTGTGGCTTTCCTCAACTTGCTACATTCTCTCCATTCCATCTTTGCAGGCTCCTAAGGTGGGACACAGCAGCTTTTCTGCAGATATCTGTAACTCAACTTCCAAATTCCTGACTTGAGGTATATGCTGAGCCTTGACATAGAACTTGGACTAGGGCTAGGACCATAGACAACTTTATATTTGACTATAAATTATGTGTTTGATTAGAGCAGATGCAGGGCCCAGTGCTCCCAAAAGTTACAATAAAGTATTGCCTTTTTCTTGTTCCTATAGGTATATTTCCTCTTTCCCTCCCCACTTCAGTGCTGGGGAATGAACCCAGGGTCTCCATGTGATAGGCAAGTGCTCTACCACTGAGCTATATCCCAGCCAAGGTAGTTTCTATACTGACAGAATAAATTAGGAGGGGTGTGTGTGTGTGTAAAGTAGGGTGAGCTGGGAGCCAGTGGCTCATACCTGTAATCCTAGCTACTTAGGAGGCTGAGATCTGAGGATTGCGGTTCAAAGCCAGCCCAAGCAGGAAAGTCTGTGAGACTTTTTTTTTTTGGGTCCGGTAGAGGGCTTGAACTCTGGGCCTGGGCACTGTCCCTCAGCTCTTCAGCTCAAGGCTAATGCTCTACTACTTGAGCCACAGTGCCACTTCCGGCTTTTTTTTTTCGGCTTATGTGGTGCTGAGGAATCGAACCCAGGGCCTCATGCATGCAAGGCAAGCACTCTACCACTGAGCCACCTTCCCAGCCCGTCTGAGAGACTCTTATCTCCAATTAATCACAAGAAAACCAGAAGTGGTTCTGTGCATCAAGTGGTAGAACACTTGCCTTGAGCTGAAGAGCTCAGGGACAGCACCCAAGCCCAGAATTCAAACCCTATGACC